ACCCTCCTCGTACACCTTGGGCATTGGATCTTCACCCCTAACTTCCGTGATTTCTAGGCAGGGTTTGGGCACTGGGCTGTTTCCTGTCATGTGATCTCATCTGCCCCAAGAAAAGGAAGTGGAAGAAACAGAGAAGGAAGGCTAGGACTCATACTTTCAGACCATGTCATTTAATTAGCCAACACAAATGTATTCTGGGAATATCTACTACGTTCCCCCTCATATTACAATAAAAAAAGATAGAAACTGACTGTGGTAGAATGCAAAAACACAGGACTGCAAGTCAGAAGTTTTGAGTTCTCATCCTGACGATTGTGTGAGTGTGGTTGCAAATCTCCGAACCTATCTGGGCCTCAGCCTCTTTGTTGACTGAGTGGAAAGGTCAGCTGACCAGGAACTTAAGCCCATAGTCATGCCTCTCAGAGCTGATGAACCCTCAGAAATTGCATGGACAAATTTTACACACGTGAGCATTTTCCAGAGAAGAATCCAGGGAAGACCGCATGAAATCCTCAAAGGGTCTGTGGCTCAAAAATGGTTTTTTGTTGGCTCAAAAATAGTTAAGAATTAAAAAAAATTAGTGAGCTAATGGATCAGTAAGTTCTCTGAGTTCCTGTGTTGGGAGTACTAGTGTGATCCTAGTCCTGTAAATCTGTGTGTTTAGGAGATTTACTTATTTAGATTTTCATGGATTTATGATTGGTTTGTTCATTTGGTTATTTTTTCATTCATTATTAAAATTAAATATTTATGAAATACTTCTTTTGTGCCAGGCACTGGCCTAACACGGGGCACAGCAGTGAACAAAACTCACAAAAATCACTGCCCTTGTAGAACTTAAATTTTAAATAAAATCAGGTAAAACATAAAACAAAAAACTAGGTAAAATTTACATGAAGCGTATCAGTTAGTAATGATGGGTTCTGTGGAGAAAAATGAAGAATTGGAGGGTGAGGAATGCTGTCCCTTGGGAAGGTGTTTGTGATTTAAAATAAGGTGAGCAGGGAATGGCTTACCAAAGTGACTGACATCTGAGCAAAGATCTGAAGGAGGTGAGGGCTGAACCATGAGGGAAAAGCACTCCAGGTAGAGGGAAGAGCAAGAGCCCTAGGCAGGAGCTTGTTTGAAGACCAGGAAAGGGTATGTGCTGGAGGCCGGCTGAGGGTATAGTACATAATCATGGATGGCCTTTTGGGGTTCTTTTTGGTGCTCGCCCTAACCCACCAGGGATGCGACAAGTACGGGGATGCCAGCTGCAAGTAGGGTAACCTGCAGGCCACGCCAGGCTTAGGCCGGTTCTGGAGGAAGGGCTACATCAGGGACGTTAAGTAACGGAGAGTTTCTGTTTCCTTGCAGGCCACAGAGATGCTGGTTCACAATGCCCAGAACCTCATGCAGTCTGTGAAGGAGACTGTTCGAGAAGCAGAAGCTGCTTCAATCAAAATTCGAACAGATGCTGGATTTACACTGCGCTGGGTTAGAAAGACTCCCTGGTACCAGTAGGCACCTGGTCAAACCTGGCTGGCACAGAAACCCCTACTAAACAGAATGAAATGATCTGAGCCCCAGAAGATGCAGAGAATTGCTAGGGGGTTATAGGCCACATCCTGGCCTAACATAACAGAAAGGAATGGGGCCTCTTCACTTTAGAAACCATTTATACTCTTGTCTTGGACACTTTGTTTCTCCGTATAAAGCCTGTATTCTCAAACACAGTTAAACTCCTGCACACTCTATCCCAATAGGAAGACTGGGTTTCTAGCCCATGGACTTCATGTAAGCTCAGAATCCAAGACTGAACACTAGCCAAGACACCCTGCTCTGCCCTCGTTCCCTAGGGGACAGTTCCTCTTCTGCTTCCTTTTCACTGCCACCCCCCACCCCATCCCCAATTCTCCCCACCAGGCTCCCAAGACCCAGGGCCCAGGCAAGTTGTTAAGAAGAAAATCACTGTGCCTCCAAAATTTGTTTTGGGCTTTCCATGTTGCTCCTGACCCCAGCTGTGCTATCTGGGTTCTTTTCAGAAGTGAGATTTGCTGCTACAAGGGAAAAAGGCCTCTGGGGAGCCCCAGCTTGTGGGTCCTGGATTCGCCTCTTGCCCTTCCCCAGTTTAATCCTAATTTCCCACAGTGCAAAACCAAATTTCACTCTCAGGAGGAAATCACAGAATCACACAATTGTCTTTACCTTGCCCGAGCAACCTCTGTGTAGGGAAACTTCCCACCCTGTATCCCGCCTCGGCCTGTGAAGGTAGGCACCCCCCCACACTGTGTGTCCTGGTGCTCTCTGCCACAGGAGGGGCAGAGTAGCCGGGCGACGCCCTGCCCATCTTCCGGGCAGGGCCACTCCCAGGCGCCTCATGCTTTGTCACTGCCTGCAGAGGTCTGTGCTGAGGCCTTATCGTTCATTCTTAGCTCTTACTGTTCTTTCTGAGCTGAAATGCTGCATTTAGTTTTTAACCAAATCATTTCTCCAATCCTGACTTTTGTATTCTTCCCTTATACCTTTCCTAAACAAGATTTTAAAGATATGTGCTTGTTCATTGTAATTTTGAAAGATCCTTTTTATCCTTTTGAAATTCAGTCCTAAGAATTGGTGCTTGCCCCCCAGGAATGTTTAATAGAAAGGCAATCCTGTCTGAAGGGCACTTCCTACCTAAGGGAGATTGGTACTTGCAGACTGGAATTCTGGCACTGTTGGGGATAATCAATGGGAAATAGTCCTCAGTATATTCTTACCTCCCTTAAACCAAGCCCTGTATCCTCTCCTCTCTCCCAAGTATGAATGCTCGCGAGTAATGGGTATAGTATTTAATTAGCACCGTAAGTTTCCTATTGGCAAAGTGAGAGAGAAGAATTTTTCCTTTTTTGCACTTATCACTGCTGTCTAAGCATTGCCCAGCACATGAAATCCTACTTCTTCCCAAAGCCAGAACTGGATGAGTAAAGGAGTAAGAACCGTTGCCTGAATGTCCTTTCTTCTCACCTCCAATGTGTGTTAAATCCCAACATCGAATGTGTAAAACTTGTCTTCAGTTGGTACTGTACACTCAGGCTTCCTCTATTTTAACTGATGAATATTATTTTCAAGGCCCTCAGCATATTTGTATAGTTGCTTACCTGATATAAATGCAATATTAATGCCTTTAAATGAATCTATGCCAAAGATCACCTTTTGTTTTATGAAAGATTACTTAGAGGAAATAAGAAAAATCACGTTTGCTCTCCATGTTCTTCCAGTGTTTTGAGACACTGGTTTACACTTTATGCCGATGTGCTTTTCTCTAATATCAGTGCTCAAGACACAGTGAAGCAAATTAAAAAAAAAACAAAACAAAAAACCCCTGAAGACTGATTAGAGACATCACCACTAAAAAACTACATTTATAAGCTAGGATTTGTTATATGCAAATATTTTCTGCCTCTTCTTTTGTTCTGTTTAAAACAATAAAGTGCATTTGTATAAATAATGCTTTAAATGATGGGTATATTATTTCAGCAAAAACGTTTAGTTCCGCTTTCTCCTCTGTTTTGAAAAATAGCCAAAGAAACTAATCCTCAGGATCTGGAAACTGAAGACTTTTCTTTAATCCTAGTGGTGTACTGGATGAACAACATTACTATACAGTAGCAGCAGCGTATTTACTTCACAAGGGTCTGCGTAATAAAGCACAACTTTGGGGATTTTACACTAGGAGGAGGTGACCGGGGTGAACAATAGGAAGAAAACAGCCAGAAGATGTGGATCATCCTCTGGTTGAAGTAGTCTGTTTTCATCTTAAAAACTGCTAGCTAGGGGCGCCTGGGTGGCTCAGTTGGTTAAGCGACTGCCTTCGGCTCAGGTCATGATCCTGGAGTCCCTGGATCGAGTCCCGCATCGGGCTCCCTGCTCGGCAGGGAGTCTGCTTCTCCCTCTGACCCTAACCCCTCTCATGTGCTCTCTCTCATTCTCTCTCTCTCAAAATAAATAAATAAAATCTTTAAAAAAAAAAAAACAAAAAACTGCTAGCTAGTCGTGGAGACCATCACCCCTAAGAAGCCAAAGCTATTATACCACAGGTCTATTTTTTTTTATATTTCAAAGCCCAATATAGAACAATAGGGCTGTCAGAGATCCACCCGGACTATAAGGCAGAGCTAGCTTTGGGGGACAAACTCCTCTTGCTTGAGGAAGAACTGACTAAAAGGAGTAGGTACTTGGGAGGAGAATGGACGCTTCACTGTTTTTGCCTGATTTTCTGGATCTGAAAGGGGATCATTACAGAAGGATAGTGCTGCAGACTACATTTATGGCTGATTTAGAAGTGCTGCTGACTAGGGAGGCAAGATTCCAGACTGCTGGAGTTAAAGAGAAATGTCCAAGGCTACGGAATTAGCTTGGCAGTATCTGAAAACAGATTTCATGGTCTCATTTTTGTTACTCACCATATGTTCACGGGTGCTGCCTTCCTGCTGCATTACATTTTTTAGTTGTTTTCTCCAATCAGAGGACTCTTAAGAACAGTGAAGAGCAGCATCTTCCAAGGGCTGTTCTGTAGCACCACTTTAGGAATGAACCCATCACATGAATTCTCTGAATGATGGTAACTTCCTTATGCAGAAAACGAGCATCTACTTCATTTGCTCTTAGGAGATCTCCTTTAAGAATTTATAAAATGGAGCACTTCTGAGATTAGCTGGAATTCTGTGTTTGAAAACTATTCTACTACTACTAAATATTCATGCATCTTTGTTATTAGTAGGTGGTGGTGGTGGTGATAGATAGGGAGAGTAACCTTGATCACTTACTGCTCAGTCTCTGGCCAGAGGGTGATGCTCAGAGAAAGTATCCATGGCTGTTAGCATACTGAGGTTAAGAGAGGAACACCTGCAAGTGTCTTGCAGCAACTGTTACACCTTATGGAACGATACAGAACAAAAACTGACCATGTTTAGCCTGCTCTGACACTGAGGCGTGCCCATCTGAGAACGCTCAATCAACAGTCAAGCTAAAAAACCAACTTGCTGCTTCCATCTTTTTATTGACAGTATAACCAGATTAGAGAAAGGATATACTGGATTCAAATTAATAAATACAATAATTTAATTGTAAAAGGAAACAGTCTACTTGGAAGTTTCAGCAGAAATTGCTAGAGACAAGGGACTCTTGGCATATAATCTGCTTATTTATATATAAGAGAAGATAGCACAAAAAGAAAATTGGACAGTCCAGATATACATGGTTGAGATTAGGGATTGTACAGAAAGAAAAGCAAATATACTGATTGTTCTTTTGAGATAGGACATTAAAAGACATTAAAAATAAAAGCAATTGGACTGGGTAATCAGTGTTAGGCAAAGGGAATAAATATTTGGCAACATCTTGATTTTAGCTGCCAAGCTGATATTGGTTACCCAAGAAATTTCAAATTTGCAAAAAGTGCCATCTCCTATTAGATGAAAGGCAGGCTGGGTACCCTAGGCAGGCAAAGGTAAGAAGGCTGCTGTCTGGTGGGCTCTCTGTAGCAGCACCGACCACTAGCTCTTGACAGCAGAAAGGGATGAATTTAAGGGCCATTCTTAGCATGATATGGAAAAGGGAGTTATAAGCCAAGAGGAATGAAAAGAATGGAGTCACGAAGAGAAGAAAACTAACCGCATAAGCAAGAACAAATGGGACCATGAAGAACAAGCACTTGTATCTCTCAGCCTTTCTCCATTCTTCCTGTCTAATGAGGCAAAATGTCTGGGCAAGGACATCAAAAGCCAGGAAGTTGAGTGAAATGATACAACTCTAGACTGACTTGCCAACCAAGATGATTAATATGGTTTCGTCAATGTTACTGAGGATCTTGTTACTGCCTCAGCATCATGTACTTCCAAGTACTCAAGACAGTACAGTAGAGACGTTCAAGTAACAATTAAGACAAGAGTTTCAGGAAAGAACCTATTGGCCACTGTAGCCTTGGGAAGCACACACTATGAAACGGGAGCTCCCCCCTAAAGACAAGGGATGCAGGTAAGTTCAAGACCTCAAGAACAACAGTAAAAAAGATAAAATTGATTAAAAAAAAGTGATGATAGTGAAGCAGGCACATTTTCTTTCTTTTGCTGAACTAGGGCTTGAGGCCTTTAGGCTAACGATGGTTTAAGTGGTGTTGATAAGCTTTATAAAACATGAAGGTGGCAAAGTTCACTTAAGTTTCTCTTTTACGCTTTAATTTGCTTCAAATCTCAAATGCCTGTGCTTGCAATAACTTCCTAAAAGCAGAAGTAGTGTTCCCTTTTATTGCCTTAATAAAGCATTCACCCCTTTGATACAAATAATTTTGACTATGCTATCTAACAGCTGAACTAGTGGCACAAAACTGAGACGGTACTTCCTGCAGCAAGGTCCCTGTAAATCAAAATCTGAGCTTTACGTAAAAATCTTATTTATAAAAAATACAAGACCAAGTACAGTGAAAATGGAGCCTGGAGCTGTGGGGCTCCCTGCCAGGCCCAGTGGAAGTGGCTTTTGCTACAGTGCTTGCTTAATGGCACAAGTGAAAAGCTGAATAAGGCAAACACTTGAAGAGGCAGTTTTTTGTAAACTTCTTGGGGTGGGGGGAACTTCCTCTGTTGGGACAGATGTTGATTTGGGCCAGCTAAGATCAGGTGTGCCATTGGGCTGCACTTGATACATCGTATTACAGATGGAGAGGGCTCCTGCTGAGACCAGTTCACTTGTTTTAGGGGAGAGGTTATTACTGTAGCCTTTTGCCTTTACTGTTACAATGTGCAGCCTCCAGCAGAGGTCCCCCTATGGAGGCAATCACCTCCAGAATCTTCCTAACTGAAAAGATACAAAATCAGCTAAGTCATTCAAAGTTTCCTTAGCTTATAGCTCTTCAGAACCCTACATTGATTACTAAGCAACTTCGTTAGCTGTGTGTAGCTCAATAGGAATGCTTGGACTAGAATATGGACGCCCACCAACTTGGTACCTAACAGTAATAAACTATAATGACAGTAGGAAAACAAACAGATCTTGAGGAATTTTGGCCTCTTCTCATGTTCTCACTTGGAATTTTCCAGCTTTCGTGACATATTTGACTCCTTTAAATGGCTTATATTTCTCCCCATACATGTCCAAGCGGTTTACTTTTAAGCCTGTGTCAAAAAGAATAGGTAAGGAAAGGAACAAATTATTTTCCTGGCCACAGCAATCAACAATTATTTGTTTAGCAATGAACACTACCCAGTAAATCTGACATTAGCCAAGTGTCCCTTCTACCATTTGCAAGCAATCTCCCTTCCACTATTCACATATTACAGCACTGTGGGGGGGTGGTTTTAGTTTAGATTCCCATGTGGGCAAGCAATGTCTTTTATGGATAATTCTTTCTGTGAGTAGGAATGAGTCCCTTCCTTAGTGCTCGGATGAAGAGGGTACGGTGGAAGAAAGCGGTGTGAAATCAGGTGCTCTGCAAAATCACCGTACCTGGGAGGACAGCCCTGTTGCCCAGTGTGACAGGCAAACTGGAGCTGCTGTTCTTTCTAAAGAGGGAATGCTCCTACCCTTCTAAGCTCCTGACAGCTGACCTCAGCAAAACTCAGTTCACCCTTAAACACAAGTCAAAACTTATCCTTACCAGAAATAGCAAGTTGCTGGATCTTGAACTGTATGTTGAGACTTGGATTCTCTTCTGGCTTGGGTGCTCCGGACTGTAAATTTACCAGTCCTTTAAGACTTGGGAGCTTTTGTGGAGTAATTTTTCCCACATCCCATGTTAGTACCTTGAAAAGACATAAAAAACATACAATCTGAACCATTTACTAAAGACAAATGTTCAAAGACACCATAAACTTCTGTACAGAATGAAGCACAGTGTCTTGGAAACAAGAGACCTGGGATCTTCACGGAATTTTACGACTAATCAGGTCGGTGACTTGGAATGGTGAGAGCAGAGAACCAACATCTGTAGAGCATCTACCTACTTTTGGATAGAGCACTGTGCTTAGCACTGTTCATACATTATCTCAAAGAGGACTGTGATATAGATTTTGTCTTCTTTTTACACAAAGAAACTGAGGTTCAGTGGTCAAATGACTTGTTCAAGGTCACACAGCTAGTGTAGAGGCAAGGTTGGGGTTTGAACCTAATCTGATTTCAAATGTTCTTTCTACTATACCACCTTCACTGTAAGTCTCCGGGTCTCAGTTTACTTTTCTGTACCATGAGAAAATGGACCTAAATTGGTGTTTTTTAAACTTTTAGCTTTCTTTGTTCGAGTAAAATCTTTAGTGTGGAAGCTCAGTAACAGTCAACAAAGTGAAGCTATTACAGTTGAAGCCAAGGTGAAGGGCCAGGGATGTGGAGCTCTCCCTTCATTCCTCAGCCTTGCGTAGTCTCTGGGGAGGTTCTTCAAATCCTTAGGACTGGAGTAGATGATCTCTGACATTCAATGATTTTATTTAAAAGTATGCCTGTTCACTTATCAGGCAGCTCAATGACTCTGCTGTTGAAAAGAATCATACTTTTTACCCAAGCCGAAAGCTGACAGAAAATCATCTTTTACAATTTCTCTGAAAACCCTTTGCTAGAGGCACATTTATATATGGTGAGAAGCAGCTTTCCTAGCCAGCATCCCCTGTGGAAGAGTATGAAACAGTGCTTTTAGATTACAAAGAAAGGTCTCAATGATCAATTTCTACAGAAGATTTAACAATTAATAGACTACAATACTGACTTCTTATATCCAGATAATGTTTTTCTCTTTTTAAAAAAGCTTTTTACATCTTCTTCCTCAGTGAGTACATCTCTAGATTATCAATGGATGAGGAAAGGCACACTCCGAAGGAGAACAGAATGAGTCTCACTTTTCAGTTCATCTCCTCAGCAGCAGATGCGGGATTCCCTCCACAGCCAGTGGCCAGGGCACAGCACAGGTCGCTCTCCAGGTTTTGTTAGGAACTTTAGTTTCAACCAAGACATTAAACCCTTCCTTCTGCCCTCCCTGCCATCGTCAAAGACCGCAGAAACATTTGCTCACTCTTGATTAGAGGTGGCTGTACCTTGGTGACTGGATCAAATGTATAGCTGCCTTGTGTTGGTGTCAGGTTCATATTCAGCACAACTTTTGGCATGTGAACTGTTACTGTGATTCCTTCAATAGTTTTTCCCATATTCTGCTTTGGTCCAATCGTAATATCAAATCTACCACAAGAACTGTTCTCCTTAAAGCTGATGCTGTGTTTCACATAGACCGGTATTGCCACTAGACTGAAAAGAGAAAGACACAACCACAAACGTAATTAATGGTGTGAGACAGCTCTTGAGGGAGCACTGAAACCTCAGTCCAGAGTATCCTACTCTACCTCTGACTCCACGATAGGGCCATATACCCCCCAGAACGGGAGACTCCGCATTCGCTGGTACTCACCAGAGGTACTCACCAGCACATGAGGAATTACACAATTTCTGAGCAATAAGTATACACATCAAGACAGGAATCAAGATAGTATAAACAACTGGGGCAAATAGGCCTCACATGAAGAATTAAGATCCCACAGAAAAGATAATTTAAAATTATCCTAAATAAAACAGTCCCTATGTGGTAAGAGCCAAGAAATAATTCCTCTGCTTTTGAGTCCCATCTGGTATTACCCAAATACCTTCTGGTATTTTCAAGGGACAAACCATTTACAACCCACAATGCCAATTCATTTAAACCCTAGTACACAAAAGAGTGACCTGAAGCCAGTTAGTTGGGAGACAGCCTAGACAGCTGGAGATGTGTTTGTGTCCTTCTGTCAGCTATGAAGTCTGTAGACCACAGTAAAATTATGCCATGGGTTCAAGGTTTTGCATAGCTTATGCAGAGTCCAAAATGCTTGTTTGTTCTCAGGTATGTTTACTAGTCTCTTTTACTACTACTTTATATTCTCAAATATAAGATACACTGATTATTTTAAATACATATTTTCACCAGTTCTTCCCGAGTTTCCTGGTGAGCCATGGCTAAACGGAGCAGTGATGAATTCAAGTATCCCACTGTCAGAATGAAAAAGGTAAGATGAATACCCATCACACTGATACATGATTGCAGATTTCTAGTTGATGCATCAACATACTTTTGTGAGCTGACACGATATGATATGAGTCGGAAATTTCCATCTGGAGGAATAAATGACAAAACCCTTTCAGATTCCCAGCGCTTGAACCGGATGCAGGGGTGGAAGCTGACATCATCTAGAAGCCGTGGGTTCTGCCAGGAAAACAAGACAGCAGTATTCATAGAGTGCATGGAATATGGCAACTCTACTCAGATATTATGAGAAATTAATATATTCCCTAAGGATAAAACAGTCATGTTAGGAGTTTGTTACTATGACCACAATAACACAAACTTAATGGTTTCACAAGGCTTTCAAATACATATATTTTTAAAGATTTATTCGTTTATTTGAGAGAGAGAAAGTGAGAAAGGGAGAGGGAGAATCCTCAAGCACACTCCCCACTGAGCATGGAGCCCGACATGGAGCTCGATCCCAGGACCCTGATATCATGATCTGAGCCAAAATCAAGAGCTGGCTGCTTAACCGACTGAGCCACCCAGGTGCCCCACAAATATTTTATATGTGGGACAGGACAAGTGAGCATAAGAACTCCGTTCTCTTTTCTTAGTAGTGTATCATGCTGAGTCTAAAATGACACAAAAGATCAATGCCCTTTCATACCAGCAAAGCAAGTAATTCAGTAAGTGAGACTACGGATTTGCAGAAGTCAGTCAGCTATTTAAGCCACTTCTAACACACCCAGGAGAAGACCTCTCCTCAGCTTTCCATAAAGGCCATGCTCATCATGTAAGTCACTATCTTGGGAAGCTGGCTAAGAATATTTCTGAGATAGGGGGTGCCTGGGTGGCTCAGTCAGTTGAGTGGCTGACTCTTGATTTCGGCTCAGGTCATGATCTCAGGGTTGTGAGATCGAGCCCCATGTTGGGCTCCCGGCTCAGTATGGAGTCTGCTTGAGGACTCTCTCTCTCTCCCTTTGCCCCTCCCCCTGCTCAAGCTCAAGCGCGCACTCTCTCTCTCTCTCTAAATAAATAAATATTACAATATTTCTGAGATAATCTTTACAGTCTAAGATACAAACATCTCTCAGTATTTATCATTTCATTTGGTACTTCATATGTATTGGGCATGTAAAGAGCTATAGGACAGGAGAACAAAACTTACCATGAAAGAAAGAGAAAGGTCAGGCATTCCAGATAGCTTAATGCAAGCATCAATGACCCCCTGAATTTCTGCAAAGACTGTAGATCCTGAAGAAAGAAAGTGATAAAATCACTGGAATCTGAGCCTTGACTAGAATGATCACTGTATCTGAAGTTATGGAGACACCTCCTGGGTGTCACATATAATGAAGCATGCACATCTACTAACAAGTTAGTGGACAGGGGATCCATTACATTGGTTATGACAGCTTCTTCACTAAGTACCAGGGCCCACACCTAACTCTGGTAGGACTGTGGTAATTCTAAGGAATATCAAACTTGCCTCTATTTTTTTTTTTTTTTAAGATTTTATTTATTTATTTGACAGAGACACAGAGCGAGAGCGGGAACACAAGCAGGGCGAGTGGGAGAGGGAGAAGCAGGCTTCCTGCAGAGCAGGGAGCCCAATGAGGGGCTCGATCCAGGACCCTGGGATCATGACCTGAGCTGAACGCAGACGCTTAACAACTGAGCCACCCAGGTGCCCCAAACCTGCCTCTATCTTGATAGAGTCAACCTTGTAAGACAGCTGGATATGAAATTAAAGTATTTTTGGGGTGCGTGGGTGGCTCAGTCGGTTAAGCGTCTGACTCTTGGTTTCGGCTCAGGTCAATGATCTCAGGGTCATGAGATAGAGCCCCACCTTGGGTTCCATGCTGGGTGTGGAGCCTGCTTAAGATTCTTTCTCTCCCTCTGCCTCTGCCTCTGCCCTCTTCCCCAACTCTTTCCCTCTTAGAAAAAAAAAGTGAAGTTAAAATATTTTTAATGGAATTTAAAAATGAGGAAAATTTCTCATTGAAATGGACTAAGCTGTTAACTTTCAAGAAATAGGAGCCATTATTCTGTAATAATACAGCTATTCATTCTGTATGATGGAATTTTATAATGAAAAGGGCACTCACTGAAGAAAAGATATTGGCTATTAATTCACAATAGCTCATTTTCACACACCAACTAGCTGTGTGACCTTAAGCAGATTACTAAACGCTTTTGAGCCTCAGTTTCCTTATGCATAAAATGTGAGGGTTGGACTAGATGTTTTTAATAAAATTTTATGGTTCTAATACAGTACCGCTATTTTATCTGGGGTCTTTATTAGAAGTACTGCATATACAGTGGTAGCAAAAGTATGGTGCATGGCAGATAAACAATAAATGTTGAAAAAAACGGCAAGAGGGAGAGGCATACAGGGTAATAACTGGTTTAAAATAAGGCAGCATGAGATCTGATTTACAAAGGTTTGGCAGATCTCAGCTAGTGGTTATGAAAATTATATGTAACCTCTGGGCAAAATAAACAGTTTTTTAAGCTATTAAGAAATGAATGCCTTTCTGCTGAAACCATACTACCAAGGGATTTCAATTTTCTATTCAGCTTATGTCAGCTCAACTGTTTTTCCCAAATAAGACCACATGCCCACAATTACCTGATTTATCTATAATTGCATCTATTTCTTCAACGACATCAAAATAAGCTTCATTGTTTGTGTACTTTACCCCTGCCCGGCGCCATGGGATGTTGGACAGCTGCCCAGTGGGGAGTGTGTCCCCAACATTACTACTGCCTAGAAAACCGGAAAAAGAGAAAGCAAAGGTAATACATAAAATGGTGATCAGGAAAGCTATTAACAGGGATGCCTGGCTGGCTCAGTCGGTAGAGTGTGCGACTCTTGACCTGTTGTGGGTCATGAGTTTGAGCCCCACATTGGGTGTATCGTTTACTTTAAAAACAAAAAGAGAAAGAAAGAAAAGCTATTAACAGGAAAAAAAAATGCCGTAGCTGCTTCTTTAATGTTTGGGTTTTTCTTCATTGACGTTGTGGATAGTTTCCAGAATTGTTGGGAGATATATCCATACTAACATGATCAAATTTCTAGAAGACAGAAATAGGCCATGTGGTCCTCTATGTGCCAAACCAGGTTAAATTCATTTACTTATCTTTTGCTTCCTGTGTGTTAACAGTAACCTAACCTAATTTCAGTGGCTCAACAACAGAATCTCGTTATGCTGCCACTGATGGAAGAAAAGAGGCTAGTTGTTTTAAAACCTTCTGCTGATAAAATGTCTCCACTGAGAATACAGAGTGATAAGTAGGCCCTTTGGTATTCAGCTTAAATTCTACATGATATGCTGCCAAGCAGGCCTCAGCGGAGTAACTGGATGAAGAACACATTCTTTTCCCATTTTTAAGTCGGCACACCCATATGGCTGCAATATGGCTCATGTTTAATATCTGGCTAATTTACTGGCAAATTGACATATGTCTGAAAATAAGTCTAGTTGTCCAAAACATACCCTTGAGCTGTGACATATTTAACATTTTGGTTAATTTACATTTCCAACTCAAAAGTAGTACATGCTTAGTAACAACACATGGAAAGTTTAGGAAAGTGGCTAAAAAGAATCTATCTTCCTATTACCAGACTACAACTACCATTAACATTTTGGTATATTTCTTTAAACATTTCCCTCATAAATGGGTTGCACTTATTTTTTTCTATTTTGATAAGTTTGCTTTTTTTCTGACTGCACCTTAAAAATAGTTGCAATCATACTGTATATACAACTTTATAGTCTAATTTGATTGGTGTTTGTTTCTCCAAACCTTTTGCTTTCAAGAATTTTCTAAGAACACTGCTTTCACCTTCCTGTTCAAACTTTCAATGTTTCCACACTGGCTTTATGATAAAAATTAAATATTTAGCCTACCATTCAAGAATTTCCTCAACTCTTAAGTTTTATATCTCATTACTCAGCTAAAAAAACAGCTCTGTTCCTGCCAAATGAATTCATACAATTCAAGGTTTTTCACTTTGTGTTTTTTCTCATATAGTTCCACCTATAGAATGCTCTTATTCCTCCCTCCCTCCCTAAATTCTGCTGATTCTCTAGGGCCCTGCACTGGGGCCAAGCACCACAGTTCATCTACTGAACCATTTTCTTTAATTTCATAATGCACTGCCTTAATAACCTATATATTTTCATTCTATATTTTAGTAACTATAAAATACACGTTTATTTTAGAAATTAGTATAAAGCAAAAATAAAGATAGTATGTAGTTCCTTAGTTGGAGATGGTCATTGAAAACATTTTAGAACTTTTTTGTCTGTATGAATGTTTATGTGTAATTAAGAGAAATTTTTATAGTTTTGTAAAGTATATCATGTATACTTTCAGTGTCCTTGTATTGTTTATAAAGTATGGAATTGCCTTTTACATCTTATATTATTTATGTACTTTAATTTTTTTTCCCAAACTCCCAAACAGAGCATAAGTTTTAGGCACACTTACTCCATCTTCTCTTTCCTTGAATTTCTCCTAATGCTCCGCCTTATACAGAAGATGAATAAAGCTTTTTCATAGGCCTCCCTTGCCCCATTTTTTAGGTCAATACACTTCGAGAGGGGTTTAAAATGGCAGACAGCATAGCTGGTGTGGCACGTAACATTTCACAGAAATCTTTCTCTAGAAGACTTCAATACTCTCAAAAAATACAATCATCTGGATGTACTTAATTTCTAGCTATACTCAAGAAATAAACAAAAATTAGAAATTTATAACACAAGTACAAGGCCCACAATGCGTGAGATCTCACAAATAGACTAATTCCCTATCTCTTTTTGTTTTAATAATTCTGCATGTATAAAAGACTTGGAGGAGACACTATGTACTCTGTGGTAGAGAGTCTTAAATTTTCTTTTTCCTAGTAATTTGGGGGTAACAACATAATGCCAGTTTTATAATGCTATTTATTAATTTTTATTTTTCTCCCAGCATTTATTGAGATATCATTGACATATAACATTGTGTTAAGTTTAAGGTATACAACATGTTGATTTGATACACTTATATACTACAATGATTACCCAGGGTAGTGTTAGTTAACATCTTCATCACATCACATAAAATAATGCTAATTTAAATATTAAAATGCCAGTCTATAAATAGACTAAATGTTCTTCTAAGAAGCCTCACATATAGGTTTCCCTTTTATAACCTCACTATATTGGCTTCTTTACGATTAACTGGGAAAATTTATTCAGTCTTATTAGTTTTAAGTAATAGTAATAATGTTTTTGTGGGCCTATAGAAAAACCTACAATAAAAGAGAATAATCAAGTTTTCTTTATCATTTAAGACTGAGTTTCCCCATGAAAAGAAACACACATTCATTTTAACAATACCACTAACTTTAACTCTGGCCAAACTGGACTACCTTAATAATCTGCCAGATCATAAGCAACAAGGAGTTGTTTATAAAGCTTTAATTGCTCAGTTCCTAATGCAGCATGTTTTCACCTTACCTGTGATAGAGTTGACGACAGAACGGAGAATTGTTGGTGGTTTAATCAGTTCTTTCAAAATATTAGATTCAGTAGCCAGTGGAAATCCATTGTCTAACATTTCTTCCAAGAGCTCATATACAATGACCACATTATCCTTAATTGCAGCTTCCGAACACTCACCAAAGTAGTCCTTAACAAAATGTACATAATATTGCACAATGGAAGGCATGAAGAAAGGCTTTCTAAACACTCTGTTCAGAAGGATAAACTTAGAGTAGCATAATTCATTGTTTAAGATGTAAGTCAGAGGGAAAAAACCCTCCACAGTTCTATTCCTCAATATTTTCTCAATATTTTTAGATTGAACTGATTTCCTATTATATATTAAGACAGAGAGTACATTGAAACATTAAACTAGGATGTGATCTATGAACTTAATTTTCCCTGATTAGATACCCGCCCAAAACACAGATTAAGTGTTCAATTATTTGGTATACTTAGCAAGATAATAAAATGTAAATATTAGAAGATTACATAACCAATAAAAATTTTGGAACCATTCAAAGATCTTTATGTAGAGGGCATTACTGTTTCCTGATGACATAATCTGTAATACATATAAATATGGCTTCCATGACCATGAGATTACTATGTTCTACTGAAACAGTGAATGGAGCAGCCATGTGTACGGCTGTGCACCCTACAAAAAAAGGGTTTATGAATTTATGCTTAGTTGAAAAGAAGAGATAGATGGAAGACACATCCAAAGCTGGATAATTAAAGAATATAATTATGTGTCCCACCCCCAACTAACTTGATTAATTTAAGTTCAAAATATTTGATGAATAACCAACCTGAAAAGTGTCAGCAACTCGATGTAGGAACTCAATTACAAAGAGAGGGGGCACTTCAGTCTGTATGACAGACACAAAGAAGAGCTTGTCCCGGTAGATACTGATGAGGTAGTGATGAGGTGTTGAAATGACAGGTGGTACATTTTCAACATCAGCAGCTTTCTCTTGAGCTTCAAAGAAATAATCACAGACAGACTGGCTTACAACGCTCTTCCAGTGCTTCTCTAGAAATATGTCACCGGAACAGTTTATGAGAAATAGACTGTGGATCATTTTCTGGGGGGAAAAAAGTTTAAATTTAGTGTACATCAAAAAGTATCCTTGTATTATTCTGACATCAAAACCAGACAAAGGCAATAGAAGAAACTACAGACCAATATCACTTAAGAATAGCTGTAAAACTTCTTGACAAAATACTAATAAACTGAATCCAGCAACATATAAAGATTATACACCTAGACCAATGGGGTTTATTCCAAAAATGGAAGATTGGTTCAACATATGAAAATCAATGTAACATACAATCTACATAAAAGACAAAAAAACATATAATGATTTCAAAACGTGCAGGAAAATCTTTTGATAAAATCTAGCACCCGTTTACAATAAAAACACTTAAAACTAGAAAAAGAAACTTCCTAACCCCAAGAGAGCAGAGCATCTGTGAAAATCCCATAACTAACATGATATTTAATGACTACAGATTAAAAGCTTTCCCCTTAATATCAAGAATAAACAATGGTGTTCATTCTCACCATTTTTATTCAGTATGGTACTGGAGAATCTAGCCAGGGCAATTTGGCAAAAAAATGAAAAAAAGGCTTCCAAACTGGAAAGGAAGAAATAAAACTACCTCAATTTGCAGATGATACAATCGTGTATATGTAAAGTCCTAAGAACACACACACCCCCCCACATGTGCTTGCATGCACAAAATCATAGCTAATAAATGGGTTCAACAAGGTTGCAGGATACAAGATTAGTATTTTTAAAAAACCAATTGTATTTCTACACATAGCAATGAATAACCTGAAAATGAAATTGAGAAAATAATTCCATTTACAAGAGCATCAAGAAGATCAAAATATTTAGGACTAAATTTAACAAAAGTGCAAGTACATTGAATAGTATAGAACATCATTAGTACAGAACTGTACGGAACATTATTAGTATACATTGAGTAGTACAGAACATCATTGGAAGAAATTAGAAATTAAAAATACCTAAAACATGGGAAGACATTTCACATTCATGGATTAGAAAACTTAATATTGTTAAGATAGCAATACCTCCCCAAATTGGCTTAAGATTCAATGTAATCCCTTCTATGATGCCAGCTGCCTTTTTTTGTGGAAACTAAGAGGATGGTCCTAAAATTCATATGGAAATGAAAGAGACAAAGGATAGCCAAAACACTCCTGAAAAAGAAAAAATTTGGAGGACTCATACTTCTAGATTTTAAAACCTACTACAAATGTACTAAGTGGTACTGGCAGAATAGTCATACAGATCAATGGAACAGAATGGAGAATTCTCAAATTAACCTTTACATATATGGTCAACTGATTTTTTATAAAATTGCCAAGACCATTCAGTGGGAGAGAGAACAGTCTTCAACAAATGGTGCTTGGACAACTGGATTCCCACATGCAAAAGAATGAATTTGGACCTCTACCTTATACCATATACAAAAATTAACTCAAAATGTATCAAGACCTAAATATAAAAGCTGAAACTATTAAAAACTCTTAGAAAAAAGTATCCATTAAGCCCTCATGACCCTGGATTAGATAATTTTTTTTAGATGACACCAAAAGCACAAGCAACAAAAAAAGAAACAGATAACCTGGACTTGTATCAGAATTTAAAACTTTTGTATTTTGAAGGACATTATCAAGAAAATAAAAAGACAACCCACAGAATGAGAGTAATTGCAAACCATGTACCTTATAAGGGACTACTATCCAGAATATAAAAAGAACGCTTACCGCTGAAGAATAAAAAGACAACACAATAAAAAAAATAGGCAAGGAATTTGAAGACATTACTCCAAAGAAGATATACATATAAATGATCAATGCTTATCGAGCACATGGAAAGGTGCTCAACATCTTTTCAAATGTAGATCAAAATCACAATGGGGTAACATTTCATATCCATTAGGCTAGATATAATTAAGATGCAGACAATAACAAGTATTGACAAGAAGGTGGAGAAACTGGAATCCTCATACATTGTTGGTAGAAATGTAAAATGGTACAGATGCTGTGGAAAACAGTGAGTTCTTCAAAAAGTTAAAGATAGAGTTACCAAAAAACTCAGCAGTTGTACTCCTAGATATATAACCAAGAGAATTGGAAATGGATGTCCATATAAAACTTGTATACAAACAAACAAACAAAACAAAACAAACTTGTATACAAATGTTCCTAGCAGCATTATTCAGAATAGTCAAAAAGTGGAGACAACTTAAATGTCTATCAGCTGATGAACAGGTAAATAATTTTCCAACAATGGAATATTATTCAGCCATAAAAAGGAATGAACCATGAAAACATTATGCTAAGTAAAAGAGGTCAGACATAAAGGGTCACATATTGTATGATTTCATTTTCTAAAATGTCCAGAATAAGCAAATCTACAGAGACAGAAATTAGGTTAGTGGTTGCCAGGGGCTGGGTGGAAGGAAAATATTGGGGAGTTAGCGGTTATGGGTTTGCCATTTCTTTTTAAGGTGATAAAAATCTGGAATTAGAGATAATGGTTGTGCAACTTTGTGAATATACTAAAAACTACTAAATGGTATGCTTTAAAATGATGAGTTTCATAATATGTGAATTATATTTCACTTAAAAAATATTCTTAATAACTGTGACACATGAATCTACTCCCAGGTGGATTAAACATAAATGTGTACAAATGTGCACCAAAAATATGTATAAAAATATACTGTTATAGTGAAAACCTTGAACTCAAAATATTTATTAATAGTACAATGGAAAAATAAACTATAGTGTACTATTAAAATGAAATAATATACAGCAATGAAAACAAACTATTGCTACATGAAGCAAATCTGGATGAACCTTACAAACACAATACTGAACAAACAAAACGAGATGCAAAAGGATACATACAGTATAATTCTATTTATATGACTTTCTTGAACAGACAAAACTAATCTATGGTTTGAGAAATCTTTTATGGACAGTGGGGGTAGTGACTAAGAGGGGCATGGGGGATGTTTCCTAAGGTGCTTGTAATGTTTTATTTCTTTTCTTTTTTTTTTTTTTTTAAAGATTTTATTTATTTATTTGAGAGAAAGAGAATGAGAGAGAGAGAGCACATGAGAGGGGGGAGGGTCAGAGGGAGAAGTAGACTCCCCGCCAAGCAGGGAGCCCGATGTGGGACTTGATCCAGGGACTCCAGGATCATGACCTGAGCCGAAGGCAGTCGCTTAACCAACTGAGCCACCCAGGCACCCCTATTTCTTGATCTAGATGATAGTTACAAGTTATATTCATTTTGTGACAATTCATTGGGTTTTACATTGTGACATATAATTTTCTGAGTGTTAACTATATTTCAAATAAAAACTTTATTATCTTTACAAATGGGGGACAGTAGAAAAATACCTAATTACCTTAACGTGTTCCTTTCTTTTATGTAGATAACATCACTTACCAGGTGTTTAGCCTAGTGGTCCACTAATTAAAAATTATAGTATTGTGTAAGTATAGTCTAAGTGTAAAAAATTTAAAATGAATACATACAGTTTCCCTGCCTGAAGATAAATTCCAAAGAGGAAAGGAAGACTTTCCAGAATGGATTCATTCAATTCTGTTGAGACAGAAAACAATGACACCAACCTGACCAGTTCTTTTGAGAGCAAGTCATTTATTTTATGAAAGCAGCTGACATTTAAGGACTATCTGGTGATGATTTCCCCTTCCCATTTGGCACATGTTCATAAGTTTTTATGTAAATTACTAATTAGTAAGATGTGTTTTAGTAATTACTGTATTAATAAATATGAATGCTGTTAACATTTTCAGGTTCCTGTTTATTAGAAACAATGTTTCTTTGTTCAAAGGCATCTCTATTTAGCCAAGCAATCAATGTGAGTTGGCAGCAATAAACCCTGAGGCTTCAGACCTACTCAATTTTTCTAGATTAATACTGAAACCTGTTAAATTTTTCTACTTCATCTAGTCAGATGCTTTGTTTAACAGGTTTGCTTTGTGTCAGCATTATATTTCTATTTGAGTGCTAAGTAGTGTCACTGGAATACAGACTTGCTATACAGAACCTACTGGCTTTAACTATAACGTCTGCTGATACACTTAAAAAAAAATGAAATAGGAATATCCAATAATAAGATCTGCAACTAAATTTGTATTAGGACACATTTTCTTAGAATAAAATCTTCATCTGAAATACAAAGTGTAGCTGAAAGGAGAACATTGTAATCCACTCAGAACTCAGATGTGAGCACTTTAAGTGAGCCAGCTATGGAATATGGTACTCTTTACAAAATTAAATTTTCAGCTCTATTCAAAGTTTTTTAGTCATCAAAAATAAATAAATTAATAATATCTAAAAGGTACTGAGTACTTACTGTAGGCCAGGCACTATGCTAGGCACTTCCCTACATTATCTCATTGAATCTTCATGACTCAATGTTACAAATATTGCGCTTATCCCCGTTTAAAGCTAAGAAAATAAAGTCTTAGAAATGTTAAATCAGATCATAAAATAAGTATCAGAGCTAGGGTTCAAACCCAGGTCTGGATGAATCTCGGGCTCCTGTTCTTATCCGACTCCAGGAGACTAATTATTAGGAACATACTCTAATGCTGCACTGTCCAACAGGATTTCCTGCAATGATGGGTATGTCTTGTATCTGGGCTGTCCCATACAGTCTCCACTAGTCGTATGTGGCCACTGAACACTTGAAACGTGGCTAATGCAATGGATGTACTGAAGTTTTAATTTTAACTAATTTAAATGTACATAACTACATGTAGTTGGTTGTTACCATACTGGACTGAGCAGCAAATGTGCTCTTTGAGCTTATAATTTAAGAAGAGCTGAAAGATGTGCTTCTTTAGTTAGAAGCCAAAATGTGTTCTAATAAATTATTTAGAGCAGAAATTATATTTAAAAGAGCTGACAGAAGTTATCTTCTAAAACCATTCATCCTATAGAAGGTATAGTTCATATGGATCTGTGGTACTTTGTTGCCACAGTATACCCTAAACGAGCTGCTTGTTCTTGAAGCAAGTGACTTCATAGTTCCTTTATTTAAGAGGCCAAGTTCCTATTCATCCTCTTAAACTGGTGAAAAAATCTTTCCAGGAAGTTTGCACCAAAGTTGTTTTTGTTGGCAATAGTTCTAATCTCAGAAGAATACAGTAAGTTAAACCGGCCATCTGGGTTTATTATCCTTAGTGCTGAGATGAAAGCATAACACTTGTAGCTCTCAACAGTGCTTAGCTTTAAAACCCACCTTACCCTTCTATTGTAAGAAAAAAGAGCTTATTTCTTCTATTCCTTTATGATCAAGAGCCTAATGCATATAACAATTAAATAAATGCCACATGTGGCAGTGTAAATTAGTCTGTTTCTTTAGTTACTTATCCTTTTAGTAGCTGCTGTAACTCTTTTCATCATTCTAATAAACTTTCTGGGAAAGCTACACACTCAGTGCAACCACAACCATCTTTGTGTTCTTAGTGACTTTTGAATCAGAAAACAGAATGCTACCAGCTTATTTTAAAGCCACTTGAGAAAGTTCCATCAGAACTTTGCAGCTTAAATATTTCATAAATCCTCTTTACCCATGCTGAACAGTCAACCCGATGATTCACAAACAATGCAATTATAATACAGATGGTCCCTGACTTAACAATGGTTTGATGTAAGATTTTTCTACTTTACAATCGTGCAAAAGTGATATGCATCCATTAGAATCCATACATTGAATTTTGAATTTTGATCTTTTTCTGGGAGAGTGATATAATAATCTCTTGAGATGCTGGGTAGAGGCAGCAAGACGAAACTCCCAGTCAGCCACCTGATCACCAGAGTAAACAACCAATACACTTACAACCATTCAGTTCTTCACTTCAGTAGTCAATAAATTACACAAGATATTCAACACTTAACTATAAAATAAACTTTGTGTTAGATAATTTTGCCCAACTGTGGGCTAATGTTAAGTGTTCTGAGCACATTTAAGGTAGGGTAGGCTAAGCTATGAGGCTCAGTAGGTTTAGGTATATTAGATGCATCTTTGACTTACAATATTTTCAGGACATAACCTCAACAGAAGTCGAGGAAGATCACTAGTCAAAATACCCTTGGAATATGTCTAAAAAAGAAAATGTATTCCTTCTACATAAAACAGAACAGAGGCATAGAAGAGCCTATATGCAAGGTAAGAGAATGAGACCAGGGAAGACTCTAGCTTCTCTAATTCTCAGACAGTATTTTGACCATTTATTCATTCAACAAGTAGTTCTGAATATGTTTTATATATAGTAAGCAATGGGGATAGAAAGGTGGACAAAGAGTCCCTGAACTCAGAGTGTTTAGAGTTCAGCAAAGAAGGCAAACAACTTATTACAGTAAGATGCAATTCCTATTATGACAGGGGAAATACAGTGTCCTTCAAAATTCCACAAGTCTTTGAGGTGACAGAGAACACAAGTAAAGAAATCCAGTACAAATTTAGCAATTTTAGGAGGTGAACGGAAGTGGTGAGATGAGACTGGGAAGGAGATAAGCAGAGATTGGTTCACTTAATTCTCAGTGCAATTTTTTATGGTTTTAAGCAGGGAATTCATAAAATCCGATTTACAGTTTTAAGAGAGATTGCACTGTGGAAATTGAATAATAGGACACCAGTTCAGAGATGAATTAGGATGATGGCCTGGACTACAGTGTTGACAGCGGGGATGGAGTAAAATAAAAAGATAAATGTTTAGGCTTGAGCAGATTAGGTGGATCTGGGGGGTGGAGATGAGAGGAAAAATGAGGCACTTAGCCCTGGTCCTGTATATTGACCTAATTCTGGATATATTTGACCCAAATGGATATATTCAAAAGACTATTATATATGTAGGTCTAGTGCTTCAGAGAGAAGCTGAGTTGGAGACACACTTATGAGTAAACATGACTTTTTGTTAATGGGAATTACAGCTACAAGGAGAAAAAACTACAAAGAGAGAATGTACATAGTAAGAAGAGAGCCTATGGAAAGAACTCCAACATCTGAATAGCAAGTGGGTCAAGGAAGTGGGCCTAAAAAAAAGGCTGAGATGTGGCTGAAGAGCAATAAAAAAAGGGGGGGGTAACAATTTTTAGTAACTAGCGTGTGTTAATGTGTTTCCAGAAGAATGGAACACTAAACATTTTAAATGGCACAAAGAGGTCAAGCTACAAGAACTGAACAAAAAAAGAAAAAAAAAGAATTGAAAATGTCTTTTTTTAATTACCTGCTGAGGGGCTTTTTCAGACTCCCTTTCAATCACACCCTCCCCCATAAAATTTTAATATTACATAATATATATCTGTGTATCTCCTTATATACTGTAAATATACTGTGTTTTATATATAAAGAGTATGTTTGGTTTTTTTTTTTTGCCTCACAAGAAGCAATTTTTGTCCCTATTGAGAATTTATGATTTAACACATAGAGGACATTGGTGAATTTAACAAAGGTAGTTTTAGTGATAGTTCAGTGGAATGCAGGAAACAAGACAGGCTGAAATGGGCTAAGAAATAACAAGAAATGGGAAAATTAGAGATAAGGAGAGTAGATGATACATTCAAGAACTCTAGCTGTGAAGAGGATGAAAAGACATGAAAATAAATGGGAGTATTTCACACAGTTAAGGAAGAATATTTCTAATTGCTGAAGGAAAGGTGTGAGTAGAAGGGGAAAGGCCGATAATATAAGAGAGAGAAAATAATTGAAAAAAAGAGGATCCTAATAGGGTAGGGGAGGATGGCATTGGGAGACTAGATGAAAGGATCTGCCTTCCTTAATAAGAGACGCTTTTCCTCTTTTTTTTAGATTTTTATTTATTTGAGAGAGAAAGAGAGCATGTGCGCACGCAAGAGCACAAGTGGGGGAGAGGGAGAAGCAGGCTCCCTGCTGAGGACCCTGGGTATCGTGACCTGAGCTGAAGGCAGCCACTTAACTGACTGAGCCACCCAGGCGCCCCTGGACACTTTTCCTCTTTAAACAAAAGGGAAGAAGGTTTGTACATTTGGTTGTAGGAAGATGAGCGCTTCTATTTTTTCTGTGTAGTAGGAGAGATCATCTGTAGAGGGAGAGAGTTCCTCTTCTATATAAAAGCCATTTGCTACTCACGCATTGAGATATTATTGGGCTACTTAAAAATTTCTATTCTGCAGGGAACTCCAATAGTATATTATGGTGAATGTTTAGAAATATTGTAAAAATCCTAAGATTTAGTAAGAAAAACTAACCTTACTGCAAAGAGAGCTTTCCTACCAAAGATATGTAAATTTCAGGTAATTCCTCATTCACCTCATTCCCCAGCTTTTCCTATAGTCTCAACTGAAAGTGTCCTCCTTTATCTCCAAAACTAATCCTTCCATTTGTAATTTTGATCCCACTCCATTCTCTCTCCTCTTGGGTCTTATCTATCTCCTCTTTCTTGAATCTTTAATCTTACACATTGGTTACTTGCTTTCTGCCCCAAAACATAAAGCGCCTTGTATTCTTTAAGACAAACCCCAATCCTTGACTTGACATTCTCAATAATCTTGCTTCTTGCTCCAAATGATGAAGGATTAGTTTACACTTGCAGTTTCTCTTAACCAGTTACTGACTGTATTAAAGCACCTCTCTCAAATGGCCTAAGGACTTCCTAACTATCAAATCCAGCTACCTAGCCTCAGACTTCAAATTCCTCCTTTGACCCTTGCAGCATTTCATGCCATTGATAACTTTCCCCAAACCAAAACAAATACTTATTACCTTATTACGTGAAACTTCACCTGATTTGGTTCTTACCTTGAAAGTTTCTTTTCGGCTTACTTCCCAGCCTTCCTCCCCCCACCCCCTTCTACTGTTTCTACCATCCACACCTAAGCCATTGTTTCAAACTCGGTATTTCTACAAAATTCCTCCTCCTCATGTAAGGTCTCCTAATTTTAATGGCACCACCTTCTTAATCATATAGGCTATAGCTTCAACTTCGGGCACAATCCAAATCCAACAAATCCAACCAGCCACAGCGCTCATCACTTTTCCATCTCAGTTTAGATTCCTGTCACCTCTCCTTAAGAACTGCAACACCCTCCTTACGGTATTCCGTACCCCAAGCTCATCGAGGCGCCACCCTCTAACAGGACGTCTGTTCAGGTTAGTCAGGAGTTTTGTCTTCCAAAGCAGAAGCTCAGGTCCAAGTTGTTGGTACTCCAGCTCACCGTGGGTGATCTTTTTCCCGCGCCGAAGCACGGGGAGGGACGCCAACGAGTCTGAACCTCTTGGGCCTGGGACCCGAGAAGGCCGGGCTGCAGGTGCACCTCTCCCTTCCGGCCCTGCCGGCAAGAAAGCCCAGAAGGCCGAGAGGGAGGCGCGGTCAGCATCAGAGACTCTCCCGCAGCCCAGGCTGGAGTCCGGAGCCCCAGCTACTCAGTCTGCTCCCCAGTTTTCGAGCTGTTCCCTGTCCGCAGGCTCCCGCCCCCCCACACTCACCCCGACACCTGGGCCAGCCAGTGATTCGGCGCCAGGTCCACTCCGGACCCAGGCTGAGGCGGCTGAGAAGGCCGCGAGGACCCCGCAGTTGGGTTGCCCAATAGGTTGCCTGACTAACAGCTTCAAAGAAACCAACTCGGGCTACAGTATCGGAAAGATTAAATAAGTGGAAAGACGTTGAACGAGAAAAAAGATGTCTCTTGAGGTTTAGGATCTAAATCTTCCAGATCACCCAGAACCTAGAAGAAAGCGGGTTTCGCACTATGTGGACTCAGGCGCTCGAACGCAGCCTAACTCAGTCTGTGGTCCCCCCCCGGGTGGGCGGGGCCAGGAAGGGGCTGGGCCAATGGCTGTGGAAGTGAAACACACCGAGTGGAAAGAGTCAGGAGAGGCGGGGTTCTGGGAGAAGGAGGCGGTGATGAGGGGAGGAGGTGCGGTCAAGGTGCAGAAGGGGTGGGGCGCACTCCGGAGCCTAAGTGGGGTGGGAGCACGAAGATGGCTGCGGCCGAAGAAGAGCCGAAGCCCAAAAGGCTGAAAGTGGAGGCGCCCCAAGCGCTGAGGTGAGCTCTACTCGACGTAGGGTGGAGGGTGACGGCGCCTGTCGCTAAGCAGGGCCCACGTGGGGTTGCGCGGCTCCGGCAGCGAATGGTGTTCTCGCTGCCAGCATGGGGCCAACGCACAAGGACCGGCTGCTCGGGGAGCTGACCCCACGGTGGTGACCTTTCGCCCGGCGGCCAGCCCAGTATGGCAGAGTAGCTGCCTACTCCGGAGCGGTTCCGGCTGCTCTTGGCCAATCAGAACGCCGGCTTGGGGAGCACCTCCTCGGCTGTGGGCGGGCTGAGGGCGCCACGTGGGAGCCTTCCCCTGGTTGGGGTAATGTGACCCTGGAGGACCAGAGCTGACCAGGGCAGAGTCTAATGCGCCCACCTCCTATTCCCTGGGGTGGGGGCAGGGGGGGGGTAACGAGGAGGAGGTCCAGCGACTGCTCTACCCTGGGGCAAAGACAAAATTCTTGGGGATTTTTCGTAAAGTGTCGCTGAAGGTCGCCTTGACCTTCCTTTTTGTACATACTCTGAAAGTTGACACCTTTGAAGATCCTGTGCAGGGACCCAGATACCCCGCCTTCGAGGCTTTGCGGGGGCGGAATTTCGCAGAACAGATAGGAAGTGTTTTTTCTTTTTTTCTTTGCACTTTTTGGCAGCAGTTGAAACAGTTCCGCCCCTAACACCGACCTACCTCACGTGTGATTGATGTTGCAACTTTTTTTAAAAGTTGTTTGTTAAAATATTCCCTCTTAATAAGTATAAAGTACAACATGCACAGTCCTGGATGATTTTGAAATGTTTGTTGGAAGGCATTGATTTTTCTGTCTAAAAATAGACATAAATTGATTTAAAACTATTGGGACTTTCCTTGATGATACAAGTCTCATTTTTTCAGCATCATCCTTCTTCACCCCCGAAAGAATGAAGCATTCGTAAATGAAAAGGAAAGGTCAGTTAGGGGCCTGGTAGTGTTTTCATGCTGTTTTGAATGGATGGTGATCAAATCCCTGCCAGTGCCTTCAGTGTATTCCTACTACCCTCAATTAGTGTGCTTACCTTATTAAAAATAATAAACTTTTTTTTTCTTATAACAACTCAGGATGTTTTATTTTTACTTTAAGCTTTCAGACCATAGAGTAAATAAAGCAAAGGCTTTTTGAATCAGACCTACCTGGGTTCAAGGCATGTGCTTTCCCTACTTTGCCCATTACTAGAGTTATTTCTTTAAAGGTATGTCCTTCACAAGTTTCCTCTACCAAATTAGAAGACAGATGGAACTTTTCCCCACTATCCCACTAAACATATGGCTCTTAGATTTTTCCTTATGCTAATTCATTTTCAGAGCACTTTCCTATTTTACAGATGAGGAAATTGAAGCTTCCAAATGAAACAATTCGTTAAGGAAATATGAATCCAGAGTGTCTGGGTGCAAGTCATTTGTTTGACTCTACTGTTTCTACTTTTATATAACCACCCACGAAACACTTCTCTCTGCTTATGTATCCTTAAAAACAATGATAAATAATGTTTAATACTTAAGTATGTATCAGGCACTGTTTCAGCAATTTACCTATTTTAACTCATTCAATCCCACAACAACCCTAGAAGGTAGATACTATAATTATCTTCATGTTACCAAGGAGGAAACAGGCATAGAGATGTTCAGTAAATTGATCAAGGTCACCCATCTAGTAAGTGGTAGGGTTGGGATTTTAATCCAGGTAGTCTGATTCCAGGTCTGTGCTCTTAATTACCATGCTATACTTAACTAACCTCAAACAATTATCCAAAACCCCTTGTTTTTGTTTCTCTACGTTTGCTTATTTTTTGTTGTTGTTAATGTACATAACTTTTTCTGTCGTTGCAATATATAGGCATATCATACTTAATTCTTAAATATACAGAATGTATTGTATGTGTCATTAGTGTTTGTTTAAAACTTGTGAAAGTCCTGGGGTGCCTGGCTGGCTCAGTCGGTAGAGCATGTGACTCTTGATCTCAGGGTCATGGGTTCAAACTCCATGTTGGGCAAAGAGCTTACTTAAAAACAAAAATTGGAAAAGTCCTTAGGCAACTAAAGCTCATGTTGTATATCTACTTAGTGCCATCTGTAGACATGAAGTTAAAAGATTAGACACTTGAGTACTTGAACAAATCTCTTAATTTTGTGTGAAGACCTTTTGGGATTAGCTATTCCTGCTTTTATTATATTTGGCTTTAAGGGTTGCAGTGTGATAACGCACTGAGTGGTTGGAGACTGGCTTGACATTTAAAGGGTTGTTTAACCAGTTTTGGTTGATTTTAAAGGGGAACGGCTTATAAAGCCTAAGCAAAATTTAATGTATAGAATCAATTGGTGGGGAAAAATAAATGTATGAGACATGTTTGTAGATGTCAGAGAAAGTACTTAGGACTTTGAGAATTTCAGTTAGCTCTAGGGTAGTAGTTCTCAACCTGGTGAAATTTTACCTCCCAGGGGACATTCTTGGAAGGGAGTGCTAGTGGCACCTAGTAAGTAGAGTTCAAGGATGCTGCTTAACCTTCTACAACGCACATGAAGCTCCCTACAACAATAAAGATTATCTAGCCAGAATTAACAATAGTGTTGAGATAGAAAAAAAAAACAAAGGAGAGCATCTGACAGGTCTAACCTCCCTTTTTCAGAGATCCATTATTTTTCTTTTTCTTTTTTTTTTTTTTTAAAGATTTTATTTATTTATTTGACAAAGAGAGACACAGCGAGAGAGGGAACACAAGCAGGGGGAGTGGGAGAGGGAGAA